ATATATAGTATTTGTTTGCAATCTTGAAGTCATTTTAATTATGAAAAAAATCAAAAAATATCAAAAGATCAAAATCTTATCATAAATTATGAAATTTATCACCAATTTAAGGAAAGTGTCTATATCCAATGAAATATAAAAATAAGTTTCTAATATAAATTCTAACAAACGATTTCATATTTTATAAAATACTCATTACCATAAAAAAACTAAAACAAAAAATCAAAATCTAATCGTAAATTCTAATATATACTTTGTCCCAATAAAGTCTTACTTTAAAATCTTTGTCAACTACAAGATGAGAAAGTATGATTGAAAGCTTCAAAAATAAACAGAAAGTCTGTATAAACTTGTTCATGAAAATACTTATATAAAGATAAAAAATGAAGCTACTTCTCTAACACAATATGAACTTGGCATATTTTACTTTATGATTGGTATGATATATATATATATATTTTGACTAAAGTAAATAACTCGAACAAACAACTTCAATCTAAGACTATATGTGTTGATGAGGCATTGAGTAACATGAAAACACTTATTGAGTTTTTTAAAGACTACTGATAGAATGTGTTTGAAAATGCTTTGGATTGTGCAAGAGCTATAACCTTTTATTTAGGAATTGATCAGGTGTTTGTTGAGGAAAATAATAAAATAATATTTAAAAAAAAAGACATTTTGACAAGAGTAAGGCTGGGTTATCTGAACTGGTAGATGAACTTTCATCTTAAGAGTCATTCATGATTTAAAATTTTGTATATATAGTTGACGAAACTATTGGTTTCATTGGAGTGAATGTTTGAACAATACAAACAATATGAAGACATTTTTGGTTTTTTATTTACAACATAAAAGTTAGAAGTCACTGAATACTAGTAAGTTATACACATGTTACAAAAATCTTGGTAAGAGGTTGTAAAATGGGCATATCTAAAACATCGATGTTGGTGATTTATCCAACGAACTGGAATTTTTACAAAAAGATTTACCAATAAAAATTAATACAACTGATAAAATATTAAATTTCTTAAAAGTGATAAACACTTATCTAATTTGTTGTCTAGCATATATAATATTGTTGAATATTCTCATTACAGTTGCATCAGCAAAAAATAAGTTGTTTAAAACAAAAGCTTTTAAAATTTTATTTGAGCTCGACCATGTCTCAAAAGAGATTAAACACTTTGGTTTTAATTTCAATTGAGAAAGAAGTTATTAATAATATTAGTTATGAAACTGTAATAGATGAATTTGTTTCTAAAACTTATCGAAAGTCGATATTTAGAACTTAATAATTGATTGAATTTATAGCTTTTTTTTTTATTTTTTTTGTTTTGAAAAATTGCTTTTAAGAGTTACAATTTATTACTAATGACCGAAGAGATAATGTTATGGTAGTGAATTTAGTAGATGTTTTTTAGCAAATTTAAGTTTTGAGTTTAGAGGTAGCAAAATTACCTACTAATATTTTATACAAAAAATTATGGGGCTTTAATTTTCGCACAAGACCTCCGAAATATTAAGACCGGTCCGATAGACGGGTTGGTCGGTGTTGGAATGGTGATGAATAATAGGTTTACCAACCAGGAATGACCGATGCATGAGATTTGTTATTTGTGAAATTTATTGATAAATGCTCATCGTGACAAAAACTTTTCATTGTGCTGTTTATTTCGCAAAATGGTATATTTTCGTAAAATGTGAATAAATATTTCCCGAAATGTAAATAATTTCTCCACAGAAAACATCTGAATTATATACTCATGATTTAAAAGATCCTCAAATTTTCACTATATATTTATAATATATCTTGAACAAAAGGTGTTGTGATACTTTCTCAAAAATTGGTGATTACGTGTACTAAAACTTCCTCGAAAGGAGAAATGATATGAGTAAATAAAAATAGATTGGAAAAGATTACTTCGAACTTACACAATGAATTGAGAAAAGGTGGATGAACGGAAACAGGTGGCAGCCATCTTCCTCCTGTGCAAGCGACACAATCGGAAGGTACCAGATGGATCGTCGGCCGTGGTCGTAAATTCTTAGCATGCAGTGTCGGTGGTGATACATATGGCCTTCTTAAGTTCTCATTAGACTTATCTTTTCTTGGCCTCCCTCTCTTCTTTCTCACAACTGGAGCACTAACCACATTTCTAGTAGCACCAACATCACCACTGCTAACATGAATAACCAATTCTGATCCTCCACTATAATCTTTGATTCTACCAGAACTCAATGGAGAATCATTTCCAGAGTTGTTTCCTTTTGAATTATCAGAACCATTGATCTTAGTGGCCTCCATTTGCAATCCTTGTTTCATTACAAAGAGGTGAATATAAGGATGTTGTATTCGAGTATATATAAGGAAGCAGTGCTTTAATGAGGAGAGATATGTACAAAAAAAGTTATTTTCGAGATTTTATAAATTGTTAATTTTTTATTTTATTTTATGTATAAGTCAAACATAATCTAATGCAATAGATCTCATATAACTTTTCGTTGCTTTTAAATTGTATTTAATTTTTTAGATTTTCTATTTATTTTTAATAAGAAACTAAATACAATATATGTATTAGTGGTTAAATATATAAACCTGAAATTTTGTTATATATTCTTGATTTCTTGTCAACATGTGCTTTATGTTTCAATTTATATTCAGTGTTTTTTATTTTGTTTTTTTTTCTTAACACCTCTTGTTATTTTTTACCATCTAATAAATCAATTATTTAGTTCACAAAAGAATAAAAATGCAAATTGATTCACTTCTCATTTCTACTTCATTTTTACTCGGTTAATCATGATAATATATATATAGTAAGAGTTCATTTGAAACAGATATATAATTTTGTAAGACTATGATACCAAATTTTTTTATTAAAATATTATAATATTCTATTGTTCGTAAAAATCGAATATGCAATATATTCTAACATTATATGTTTTAGAATATTTTAATATAAAATATTTTAAAATTTTGTTTTAGAATATTAGAATATTACATATATTTAATTTTTATGAAAACTAAAATATTAAAATATTTCACTAGAAAAAAAATAGT